ACATCTCCGGCTTTGGAGATCATCAAGACCAGTGTCAAGTTGCACAGGACGCCATGATTTCGGATCAAAAGGACACCATCATGAAGATTGCCTCCTCTGCACCTACAACGCCATGACAGTCTCCACAACGCCGGTTTTCAATCCCTTTTCGAAGCTGCAGATGGCATCTACTACCATATAATCGCCTTGCAGGAAACAAAGTCCAGGAAGACGGACGGGTATCTGAGTGATGGCACATTCATCATCTGTGGTGAGGAAGTTCCATCACAAAACGTTGGAGACGTTGGGTTTGTCGTACACCCATCTGTTGTCCATCTTGTCGATTCTGAGATCCTATCACCTCTCCTGGCTATATTTCGACCCCTCTTCTGCATCAGAAAGCCATCACTATCATCAACTGCTATTCTACAACATCAGCAGCTGATGATTCCAAACTTGATGCTTTTTATAAGACAAAACTCCTTCTATAAGTTCGTCGTGGGTGACTTCAATGCGAAAATCGAGATGAGTGAAGAAGGGGAGCACGGGATCGGAAGATTTGCATCAGGACTTCGGAATGAGAATGGTAACCGTCTTGTTAGACTCCTGTCTGCCACTACTTTTTCATGGCAACTCCATCTTCATGAAGAAGGAACACCGGCAATGGACACAGGGGTCACCCAAAAGATAAAAGAAAGAAGGTACGACTTGTGAAGGATCAGCCACATTCTCATCAACTGATGGTGGTGCTTACTGGACGTTTCAGTGGTACCACCATCCGCTGATGAGAATTCAGCAGTGGTTCGGATCATCGCCTCCTTCAAGCAAAAGTGCAATTCAGCCGAAAGCTGGAAAAGAAGCTGTCACCATGTCGGAGAAGGAGAGAAATAGTATATGACGGCGTCAGGTTGGAGGAGCTCCTAGCCACTTGTGACTCGCCCATCAAGGAGGACCTAACGAAGGACTACGGGCTGCTTCTCAGAGGACTGAGGGTATTTGGTAAAATGCCTCAATGCCTCAAATAAGGAACTCAAAACGAATTTCGAAAGCCACCAAGGCTCTGCTAGAGGGGATGAGCGCATGAGACTGTTTCGGCTGCATTGCATCTCGAGCGACTGGTAGCCACCAGTTGCAGAACAGCTTTGCAAAAAGCTCTTTTGGAAAGAGCACAAGGAAGGAGAAGTCTAAAGAAGCGCAGGGACTTTATACCGCTGCGATCCGCTGACAACATTACTAAACGGGGAGGGGACTCGCACATCTTCAGAAAAAGATGAAATTGACCACAAAGAGATTCCACACCATCACTTTCGCTCGTTAACACCTGTGTCAAACCACCTTATTTCCAATGGAGAAATACCACCATGGATTCTACCTGCTAAAGTACGCTCCAAAAAGATCATGAAGGCAACCACGACCGGG